TATCACACCCCTTGATTTTTGCTTGTTTGTAGAAAGGGAGGATTAATCACTGAATTTTAACTGGACTGAGTTATGAAGCTATCACACCCCTTGATTTTTGCTTGTTTGTAGAAAGGGAGGATTAATCACTGAATTTTAACTGGACTGAGTTATGAAGCTATCACACCCCTTGATTTTTGTTTGTTTGTAGAATAGGAGGATTGGAACTAATCAATTAATTTACCCATTAATTAATCAATCAGCAAAAACCACAAATTGCTGCACTCTTCTCAAGAGTGAAAAATTACTTTCTATTAAATACCAAAAATTTTAACTTTATTTTGTGATGGGTAAGGCAGAATTTCAATCATGTCATGTTGTGTAAGCTATGAAAGTTCAATACTTATCAATAAACATTTCTGTATTACTTTTTTCTTTTGTGTCAGTGTTTATTTCAAACAGCTTAATTATATGAACCTTTTTATTAAGTTTTAAGTTTTTCTTCATGTTTGCATTCTCATCTTTCAAAGGTAATGAAAAGGACAGTACACAAACATCATCAAATGTCTGGGATCCCAGAAAAGTGAGTAATTTGAACCTATATTATTAGTTTGTGTTTAAAGATTCACATAGGCTTATTCTATCTGTCAAATAGAGTAAAGGACTTGCCATAAGAGGCAATAACAATAGATTAAGTTTTATTCTATATTTAGAATTAATTTCTACAGAGACCTACCTATGCCATATTTTTTTATAAATAGAACTTTAACTCCTGTGGAAGTTTGTAGATTAATGTATTATATTGTTCTAATGCTTTCTTTATTAATGATTCTGACATTTATGAGTCACTTGAAATAAAAATAATAATTTTAATACCAACAACATCTTGTACTTTGTTTACATTGCTGTAGTTTCATATCTGTTAAAAATCATATTAAATTGTGGATATGAAGGGTGTAGTACATTGTACTAAAACAATTTTGAATGTTCAAATCAACAAGTCACAGTGAAAGGTGTGTATCACTGACATTTCTTGACATGTAAATAATGATACCATAGAAAATTAGTCACTTTTGGGAAGGGTATGTAACACCTGTTTCTGATGCAAAATATTCATACATTCAAATGATAAAGATATGTTCAGATCATTGATTTAGAATTTCCAAGAATGTCCCTTATACTTAATGGCATTGGAGAACAAAGAATACTGATCAACTTGGGGCAATAGGACCATCAAGAAAGAGACCTGAAACAAGTCATATCTTAACTGTGGTAAGCAAAGTGCTATTTTTTGTAGCAAGTGAAAACACATGAACACAAAAATAAGTGGAAAAAGTCATCCATGCCCCAGGAAATAGTGCCTAACATGATCATTAAGGATCTTCACCTGGGAAAGCTACATAAGTCACGTGTACACCGTTTGCTTCTACATCATATCCGTTGTGCTTCTGATTTAACAGCTGACATTGCACTGGTGACCATAAACTCCCGTAAATGCTATTTTGTGAATACTTTTTTACAGTCCCCCTGTCAGTAAGTGGCACGAAGCCCACATGAGAACAATACTTACATTCACATGTGTTGAAAATAATATTGTGTCAATTTTCTTTTCATGATAACATGGTAACTATATATATATAAAATCTCCAGTGATGCTGCTGTTATGTGTATGCACAGTGCTTTGATTGGTCTCTCAATCCACCTTGATTGACCCAGTGATCTGGAATGTGTGAATTATATTTTTCTTTGTGATAATGTACAATTCATTATAGAATTGTACTGAAATCATTTGAAAAAATGTGATGATACTTTATCTGTTTAAAATAATAGATGTGTTAAACTGACACTTTTAAAAATGTATTTCAAAAGCTTGAACCATAACCTAGTTTTGGGACTTTGTCAAACTGCTTTCTGTTTCATGGAGTAGTTGTACGTGTATCACTTTGTTAGTACCTGCGTACCTACTACACACAATATTCAAATCTCATGGAAACTACAGCTGGAAAGAAAAATAAACAAAACAGAAAAACCAATGTTATTTTTCAAAAAAGGAAGTCTAAATGTAGAAAAACTATGTGAATGATAATTTGCTGTTGAAACCGACAATACGAGGTATGCTTGATGAAGTGCATGTTATGACTATAACAAGTCTTTCTACCCGTCAGAAGGAGAAGGGAATTTCCAAAAGATAAGGGATTCATGAGTAGATTCAAAGATCAAGATGAACTCTGCTTACTATCAGACCAATGTTCTGGACCCTTTGTACTACACAGAAATACCTTCCGTTCAACTGTCACATACCTCAAATGGCTAGAAAAAGAAACCAGATCTGTGCTTTTTCCATATGAAGACATGCCAGTGGATAACTGTGATGAGTCTGTTAAAAGGGATGCTGGGAAACCGTTGTAACTGTAAAATTAGATGGATTATAGAAACTCTGCAGGGAGGAGCAATCTGCTTTGGACATAATAGCCTTATAACAAACCTTTTGTAACTGTATATAAGATGGATTATAGAAACTCTACAGGGAGGAGCAATCTGCTTTGGACATAATAGTCTTATAACAGAACATTTTGTAACTGTATATTAGATGGACTATAGAAACTCTGCAGGGAGGAGCAATCTACTTTGGACATAATAGCCTTATAACAGAACCTTTTGTAACTGTATATAAGATGGATTATATAAACTCTGCAGGGAGGAGCAATCTACTTTGG